CTCAAAATTCACAAGAAGTCAAAATAAATTTGCAGTTGTTGAATGCATTAAGTCTTTTACATGGAGTACAATTCACCATGTTTGAGTATACACATCTGAGTTTTGACAATGTAAATAGTCATGCTACCCTCATCAAAATTAAAACATAGAATATTTCCATCACACTAAAAAATTCCTTTATGGCCACTTAGAATCAATTCTCTCCACCACATCCTAGCAACTTATCCCCACAAGTTTGTCTTTTTTTTTTTTTTTTTTTTTAGGCAGATTTAGACCGAGAGAGAGAGAGAGAGAGAGAGAGGTTTTCCTTTTCCATTGGTTCACCCCCCAAGTGGCCGCTATGGCAGGCGCGCTGCACCAATCTGAGCCAGGAGCCAGGTGCCTCCTCCTGGTTTCCCATGTGGGTGCAGGGCTCAAGCACTTGAGCCATCTTCCACTGCCTTCCCGGGCCAAAGCAGAGAGCTGGACTGGAAGAGAAGCAACCGGGACAGAATCCGGCACCCCAACCTGGACTAGAACCCACGGTGCTGACGCCGCAGGCTGAGGATTAGCCAAGTGAGCCGCGGCGCCGGCTGACAAGTTTGTCTTTTTAAGAGTTGTAAATACATGGAGTCATGGAATCCATGGCCTTCTACTTTCCCTGAGCATAAAGATTTTGAGATTCAACCACTGGGTTACACATATGTCAGTAGTTTGTTCCTAACTGCTGGGAAATATGTGCTACATTGATGTATTTCAATTTGTGTATCCATGTGTATCCATGTACCTCTTGATGAACTATTGGATTATTTCTATATGTGGAACACAAATATTAAGGTAAGGTCTTTGGAGTGACATATACTTTCATCTCTTTGGGGTAAATACATAAGAATGGGATTATGGGATCATAGGCTAAGTAAGCTAGTAACTCACTAAATAGTTTTCCTTGTGCTAAGTAGTTATAAGTATCACCTTAGAACAAACATAGGAAGAAAGAATTTTGTTTTTCTTACATTTCACAGACATGAAAATTGAGGCCAAGAGAGATAAAGTAGTTTATCCAGGGATGCATGTCCAAGAAATTGTCAAGTCAGGATTTGAACCAATGCTTCAGTTTATGCTTAGAAAGCACAGCTTTATTTCACGTCCCTTATGCACCAGTCACTGGTCTAGGTCCTCAAAATTTAAGTCAAACCAAACTGACACAATCTCTGCCTTCAATGATATTGCACAGCCCTTAGATCTAGTATAGAATTAGGTGCCCAAGGACTGACTAAAACCATGTCCTCTGAGAAATGCAGAGAAATAAATGAGCTTAAAATCTGGCAGTAGATAATGACCATGAATCTGACTGGGAATAGGAAAGTTCTTCAGAGCCAGACTCCCCAGTTCTAAATTCAGATTCTACTACTTGTCAAGGCAGAGAACTTGCTCAGGTTGTATAACCTTCCTAGACCATTGTTTTCTTCTTTTTTAGAATAGAGGGTATCTTTCATGTGTGAATTCAATGGGTTAACATGATGCAGCATTTAGAACAGTATCTGGCATATAGGAGGAACTCACTAAATGTTAGCTATTAACAATATTAGGGACATATTGTCAATTCCAGTCCAAATCCCAAATTGGCCACTTGTCTGAAATTCTTTCAAGTTCAGGAGGATCTGTATCTGTGAATGTTTATTTATTTTTCTTCCTTGTTCCAGCAGAATGTAAGAAGGCATCTGTCAATATTAGAGTGCTGGAGCTTACCTGAAAACAATAAATGATGACATTTGGATTTCATATCATGGCTGGAGATTTAAGATTCAGCTTCATAGTGATAGAATAATTATCAGACATGCATATATAACGGTATAACTTTGAAAATGTCACCTCCATATTTATTGGCTTATCTGCCCATGTAAACGTACTAAGTTCTAATACAATACCATTCCATTTCTTTAGCTCTAGTTTTCAAATAAGAAAGGATGACCATGTCAAGAGCAAGCTTAGCATTAAAGTTAGAATCAAAAGTAAGTGTTGTTGGGTGTTTGTGTCTTGTATTTGCCAAACCATGTGGTTCTATATGTGTGTGAATGTGCATTTTGGTAACACATTTGGAAGTGGGCATTTGGCCTAGCAGTGAAAGAGCCTGTATCCCACAGCGGCTACATACCTGAGTTCAATACCCAGCTCCCCTTCCTGATTCTAACTTCCTGCCAATGCAGATCCTGGGAGGCGGAGGCGGAAATCATGAATCAAGCAGTTTGAGTTCCTGCCACTCACATGGGATTGAGTTCCTGACTCCTGGCTCCAGCCTGCCTCAACCTAGCCCATGGCAGACATTTGGAGAGTGAGCCAGGGATGGGATCTTTCTTCTCTCTCTCTCTCTCTCTCTCTCTCTGTCACTCCTTTTCTGTTTTTCTCTCCAACTCTTCCTGTGTGTGTGTGTGTGTGTGTCTGCCCCTCAAACAAATAAAAACTAATTTTAAAAATTTACAACACACTTGTGTTCATGAAAAGAGCTCTATATTTGAGTTAATTTTTACCTTGGAAGTTTTTTTGGTCCCTTGTGACTCCCAACATGGAACAAAACAAAAAAACTGGTTTTTTTTTAGTCTCTCTTTTGCTTGGCAATTATTCAGACAAGAGGGCTTTGGGGCAGAAATTGTAGTACAGAGGTGTAAGCTGCTGCCTGGGACACCAACATCCCATAGGAGCACTGGTTTGAGTCCTGGCTACCTGACTTTTGACCCAGTTCCGTTAGTCTGCCTCAGAAAACAATGGAAGATGATCCAAGAGCTTGGACCACGGCTACCCATGTGAGTGATCTGGATGGAACACCAGGCTTTTGACTTTTTGGTCTAGTCCAGTCTTGATCTTAATGGCCATTCAAGGAGTGAACCAGCAGATGGAAGACCTTTCTCTCTGTCTCTCCCTTTCTCTCTGTAACTCTACCTTTCAAATAAATAAATAAACAAAAAAGTCTTCACAAATTATTGGAAAATGCATACTTTGAAAAAAAATGCATGGATTTAGAAAAAGTCTTCAACCAAAACAAACATCTTCTAATATCATTTGTGAGATATTTCGAAATACACTTGAATAAAATCAATAAAAGAGAAAAAAAAGGACAACCTCTAAATTTACTCTAGAAATATGAAAATGAAGGAACAAATTCATAAGACAAAAATTTGATATCACCCTTATAATTTGCAATATTTTTAATTATTTTTAATTAATTAGAGACAATTTTTGATAATTTATCCTGATTATGTTAGCATAAGATAAATCCATTGGGGTCAAGTCATGTACTCAAGGACCCTAATATATTTAAAAGAAATCAATAAGCCACCTGAATGAAAGCATTACAAATGTGAATTATGCATGTGAAATAGGCTCAAATTCCTTTCAGTGAACTTCTCATCATTTGGATTCACCTAATGTTTGAGCCCATGGGGTTTTGAAGAAAATCCAGCGAAGTGAGAAATTTAGGAGGGCAGAACAAAGCAGGCAAATTCAAGTGATGAGAGCTGTCAGAAGATCTGCCATGGGATAAAATTGGCAGGTTTCGCTCAGCTCTACTCACAGGTGGAGCATAATTTTGATGGCTTTATCTACAACTCTCCTGAGCATTTTTTTTCCACATCATAGAAATCTGATTCAACTCAGAATGACAGATGGGTACCTGATCTGTAGAAACGCAGGAGCCCCTGCATGCCAGGACTGAAGGAAATACGACCACCACTCTTCACCACAGAGATACAGAGTCAGTAAGTTGTGATATGGGACATCTGTTGCTTGGTTTCCTCTTCCTACCCCCAGGCGTGCACTGTGCAAACCATAATATATGCACGGCCCCCTGCAGTTAATCCTGCTATGTTGGTTAAGCTTAAATGTGGAAGGAAGAACCAGATGAGTTGCATAAATGCCGGATTTTCTTAATTGCATTTTAAATCATTCTCTGTAACATATCCAGTGTGACTCAGCTCTGCAGGTTCACTGTCACTGAGCTATATTTGGAGCTCAGACTCTGTTCTCCAGGATCAACTAAAAGGATTGATGTTCATGAAAATGTTATTTAATGTTACGTTAGACATGTGTGCAACTTTTATTCAGAATTAGAGAACACTGGGTATGTTCATTCATGAATATTGCAAAATACTATAGCTGTTCTCCCTTTCTATCGCCCCTTCTCTCTGTAAATTGTTATATATATATATATATATATATAAAAATAATACATAATATATACTTGAAAATGCAAGGCCCAAAAGTCCGATTAGGGAAACAATGATCATATCTTGAGTAATGAATTATCTGTCAATAAAATTCACTTTATACAAATTTGGCTGTATTTTTCTATATGTAATTGCCAGGCTTCTCACAGTTTCTCATCACTACATGGCCACAAAAGAACCCACAGAAGAAAACCATTCCTGTGCTCAAATTCTCCATTGGACTGGCCATTGGCACATTTGCAGTCATGTCATCTCTGATTGGAATGATCTCTTCACACATATCGCCAGGGTTTGTTTCTTTTTGAGTCACCTCTCCACTTCATGGTCACCTTATCAGAGAATGCTTTTTCTTAGTCTCCTGCCCCACTCTTTAGCTCTTCTCTCTGTTTCATTTTTCTTCATAAGACATCATTATTGGCATTATATTTGTTTGTGTGTTATCTATTTCCCCTACTAGAAGTTAAGTTACATCAGAAGAGGCATTTCATTTGATTTTTGCTATTGTTGTATACTACTATCTAAAACAGTGCCTGGCACATAGTATTGGTTCAATAATTATTGAACTACTTATTGAATAATTGAATAATTATTGAACTAATGAAGAGGCTTCAGGGGAAACAATAAGTGAAATCTACAGCTCCTTGGATATTCCCATGCACAGTCCCTCTCGTACTCTCTGTAACTCTATTTTCAACGAAATCAAGGAGAATATGATCTCTGTCATGATTCTAGATTTTCCATTTAGTATCTCTACCTCTAGCGAGGGGAGGATAAGGATAAAGCAGAAATGGATGCACATACCTTTTGGGAAAGCTTGAAAGTTGTACAGTAATCTTTGCTCTTGGCCTTTGGATCACTCTGAAAATATTGTGAGTAGGTCCAGGCTCAGTTTGCAGCTTATCATTCCTCATAGATCCTGTGTTTGAACGCTTTTCTCAAGGCTGAAATGGAGAGCGTGGAGTGGCATGAAAGAGCTCTTCTTTCTCTTTTCCATTACAGATCTCCTTGCTTATGGTCTCAGAAAACCCTAGATTTCCCAGTACCTTTGGCTTCATCTTATAGTGGGTTTAAAGATATGTTTTCATCTGAAACTGTGTGTGCATACCCAACCTTCTGAAGCCCTGATTTCATTCCCAGTTCTCTGATGTCTTTTTCCATCAGTGATTACTAACTCTTAAAAAATGGAATTGCTTGCCTGTATCAGAGTGCAATATCAAGTTGCTCCCAAACCCTCCTAACAAAAGATATACAGCTCTAACCCATGACTACCTGCTTCTGAATGGTCAGATGGGAAAAAGGCCCTGTGTCTTTTCTCTCTCTCCCCATGGGGATTGCTACACATCACAGTCTGTCCATGAAACTATTTGGAAGCATTGTCCTAAATGTGAATGTATGTGCAATTCAGGAATTTCTGTTGTCCATTATAGGCAACCACAAGCATCCCTAAGGAATTGTAGAGGGAATACTTTTCAAGAGAAAAGAAATTTGTGTACTTGAATGTTGAGCACATTGTGATAATGAGAAGGTCGTGTAGTCTGTTGGAAATAAGAGCTTAGACTTTCAGGATTAAGCCACAACTGGGAACACATACATGCAACCTTTCAAATACCCTAAAGATATTCTTTAAGGCAAAACTAAACATATCCTGGATCTTGTTTCTCTTTCTTTTTTTTTTTAAACAACAGCTTTACCAATATAGCTTGATTGGCCCTCAAAGTAACTCTACCTTTAGATTTATTATCATTAATTAAAACTTTTATTTTTTTCTGAAAAACACTTACCTAAACTCAGTGCTATTCATTTAATATGCTGGGAAAAGGTCACCTAGTGGATTTTAATGCATTACATTACTTTTAACTTTTTCCCAGTCACCTGTTATATAAGACTAGGAATCTTTTCCTTTTCTGAAGACATAAGTCAGTTCCACAACTATTTAGGTGAATTTAAATGATCAAGTTTAATCTATCAAATGTACTTTACTTACCATTGGTACCATTTAAATATATTAGGAGAGAGCATAGAGGCACTATTTTCTTTCCCATCTTTTTCATGGCAAATGCATGATAAGGAAAAGGAGGGCAGAACAGAAAGGAGACAGTATATGAACTCACAGCCAGAACAAATTTATTCAAGAAAAAATTTAAATTCGCAGAGGGACTGACTGCCACCGTACACACAGAACAAACACAGGGATGAGAGCAGAGCCCATTAGCGGGCTGCATCTTACATAGCCTAGAGTGGACTAAGGGTCTGGAGGGGAGGGCAGTGGGCAGAGCTGAGCTACTTCTTACAGGCTTTTCTCTGGGCTTTCAAACTTCAAGAAGAATGCAGAGAGTGGGATGGAGAACAATTCAGGGCATGGGATTGAGTTAGTTTCTTTAAATAATGCAAAGGTAAAGGAGTCCCTCTGGGCATTTTATCTGTTTTCAGGCAAATGGCTCAAAGGGGCTTCTCATCAAAGCACACAAATCAAAAACAAAAATAAAGAAAGAAAAGCTTATGTGTATCAGCATTACTGCAAATACAGTTTTTTCAAACTTTGTTTTATACTACCTTTGTCAAACTAATTGTTGACAATGTTATACTACTATAGTTTTAATGATTAATATCCAAAATCTGTAGAGAGCTCAAGAAACTCAACAACAACAAAACAAACCACCCAATTAAGAAATGGGAGAAGGACTTGAACAAGTATTTTTCAAAACAGGAAATCCAAATGGCCTACAGACACATGAAAAAATGCTCAGGATCACTAGCCATCAGGGAAATGCTAAACAAAGCCACAATAAAGTTTCACCTCACCCCTGTTAGAACAGCTTTCATACAGAAATCAACAAATACCAAACGCTAGTAAGGACACAGGGCAGGGGGGAAGGTACCCTAAGCCACTGCTGGTGGGAATGCTGGTACAGCCACTGTGGAAGACAGTATAGAGATACTTTAGAAATTTGAATATAGACCTACAATATAACCCAGGCATCTCACTTCTAGGAATTTATGCAAAGGAAATGAAATCAGCATATGAGTTATCTATAACCCCATGTTTATTGCAACTCAATTCATAATAGCTAAGATATGGAATCAACCCAGATGCCCTTCAGCTGAAGACTGGATAAAGAAATTACAGTATATATACACCATGGAATACTACACAACAGTAAAAAAAAATTAAATCCTGTCTTTTGCAACAAAATATATGTGACTGGAAATCTTCATATTTAATAAAATAAGCCAGTCCAGAAAGGTAAATACTCTATGTTCTCCCTCCCTGAACTGTGGTAACTAATAGAGTACATGAAAGGTAATCTATAGAAGTGAAATCAACACTTTGACATACAATTGCTTTGAACAGCCCTTGTCTCGACTGTTGAGGAACAGTTTTTTTTCATACTATTTGTTGAACTCTTAGTGTAGTGTTAATCTTATATGTATAAAGTTAATTAAAAATAGATCTTTATAAAAAATAAGAATGGGAATAGAAGGGGGGAGGAGGAAGAAGGGTGGGAATGCAGTCAGGAGGGATGGTGGGTGGGAAGAATCACTATATTCTTAAATTTATATACATGAAATGCATGAAGTGTGTATACCATAAATAAAAGGTTTCCAGGTAAGAAAAAATAAATAAATAAAATAAATTTTAAAAGAATGTTATACTACTATAGTTTTAATGATATGTGATTACTTTGAAATGTAATGTACATAGGTGAAATAGCTATTTTTTCAATTGATTATTATTTATAGTTTTTGCCTGTATTTCCACTAAAAGAGGGGTTTTTTTGGTTTTTACTTATTGAACTATTCATTTACTGGAGCATTAAGCCTTTGACAGAAGTGTAAATTAAAGAAAACTTATCTCAAAAGAGAGTGGCAGAGAGAGAAGGGGAGGGAGAGAGGGAATATCATTGTATATTTAGAATTGTATCTATGAACTATATTGAACATGATAAAAATTAAAATTAAATAAAGAAAGAAGTGTAATCATCTCCTAGTAGCTGGCAGACAACAAAATCCATTGCAAACATGCAAGTTAATAGGATAACAACAAAGTCACAGCAATAAGGAGGTACAATGACAGAAAGAAATCCTATCAGTGAAAATAACAGTATTGCACCTGGAAATAAAGTTTTCTTAACCTCTCACTTGGACGTTCTTTCTTTATATTCAGGGGTCCTGCACTAGTGTTATGGAGAAAACAACAATGAAGATGATGACCTGGGTTCTTGTCTCACATGGAAGAATTCCCACAGGGACAAGGCAGTTAGCAAAGAAAGCGTATCTATATCAGAAGTTTTACGGCAGCAGCAGCTAGGAAGGGGCTCCAAGAGAGGACGACCCAAGAAACAGGTGGAAGTGGCGTCTTCTAAGCACAATTTGGGGAACAATCCATCAAAAGTGGCGAGAAAACACATGAGAAGGCAGGAATTGTAATACTGTCTAGCCTGCTCATAATAAAACAAAAAGCTATCAGAAGGGTGAGATAGGTAATTTCCTTCTATTCTCATAATAAAATTAGAAACTCAGATGGTTTGGGTCAGCACTTTTGTCTCACTAAAGGAAGCTTTTGGGGAGAAGCAAGCATCTTGTACACTTTTAAATGAACTTCCCCTTTTCTTCATTCTAACAGAGACCTCACCTAACTGCCTAGTAGTTATCTATTTAGTCACATTCAGATGTTCTAATCTTCTAGATGTTAATAAAAAATGTCTAGCCATTATTCCACTCTATTTGTTGCCCATCTTGCTTCCAAAGAAGAATTATAGGTCTCAATAACTTTTCAAATACTGAAATTTAGAATAAAGAAAAAATGTGTTAGAAAATAGTTAAACTCGGGTGAGGTTAGTGCATAAAATACATGTAGTAATGATATCATCTAGCTTTATTAATAAGTTTAGTATTAACATATTGAGGGCCCTTGTTGTCTATTCAAATAAGAATTCTGAATATCAGCTCAAATAAAACAGGAAACATGGTCAGGTTTATTAGTGAAAGAAATTCTTAGGAGAGTGAGGGCTTTATAAGAGCGAGAAGAAGCTTAGACGTTTACCAGGCTTTTCCACAGAATAAACTAGAGGCTGCAAGGAAGAGAATGCATGTTGGCAAGAAAGCGTGTGAGCCACACAGGTGACCAAAAGGCTATCCACACCAAGAAGCGTGGGGGCAAGTAAGAGAGGGCCCAGGTGCTCCAAGCCTTTTATTTACTTCCAAAGGGGAGTGGTTACGTAGTCTCATTGACAGCTGGGCTTACAGGTGAGGTCAGGTAGGGGTGAGATCAGGAAAGAGGGTAGGGTAAAGGCATGGTCTCTAGGTCACAAAAATCTAATCAATTGGATCTGGCTGCCTATATCAGTAATAGCTGGTGAGTTTGATATACGTGAATCAAATTTTGCCTCTAAAAGCTCACTATCAGCCAAAGCAAACTGGGAAATAGTAAATTATCTGATGCAATTGTCAACAAGAATCAAACTAGTTGCTCAGTACTTTTCCAGGTACTAAGAAAAATGTTTTCCATAAATAAGACTTTGTTCAAAGTCACATTAAATGTTCTCTCAAATGTAGACTGTAATAAATAAAAGTATTTTACAGGACTGTTTCTTATGTTACTGACGTGATAAATCTTTAAAGGAAAACGTGGCATCCCAATTTAGTGTCCTCCCTAGGCAATTTAGTATAAGGGGCTGAATGAACTTGATAGAATATTTATTTTCTAATAAATATTTGAGAGTTTTGTAATATTGAGCAACTCCATAGCAAAGAACAACCCTTGGGAAGTGCTAATACAACATGATTCTTGTAATGCACACACCCCTGTATTTTAACACAGAGTCACACTGCAAATGAATTTAACAACTTTTTAATGCAGAAATTACTAATGAAGAAACGTGCTTCATTAGATACATACTTTTGGTGTAGTACTTTAAACTTGTAAAACAAATGAAGCTTGTTAAAAGTGACATAATTGTAAACAAAGGATAAATTATTAACTGTCTTCACTAGACAGTCAAATCAAGCCTCACCCTTCATTATAAACAAATCAAACAAGAGTGATTGTAGCTTTGAATACTAAGTTTGCTTCACAGAGAGAGTCTGTGAATGTTGTCTAGCCACAGCTAGTTCAGTGTGTCATTCCTGCTCTGAAAACTGTCCTCTACTCTTCTCTTCCATTGAATCTGTATGTGT